GCAAGTGACGTTTTCTAAATTACTGCGGTCACCATTACTTCTTGAACAACTCTTTAACTCAGAAGTTTATCTAGAACCATCTATATATCTGAAAATCATTGTTAATTGCTCCTTCATGATTTATAGACCGGATGTTCAATAAGAGTTATTGGGATTATGCATTTGTAGTTTTCTCCTGTACGATATACACTCGTTAAATAAAGAAAGCTTTTATAAAACTAGACTTTTTATTGACGCTTGTAACTGCCCGTTTCGGGTCAAGTTCTTAAGGTAAATCAAATGCTGCTTCTGAAGCGGGCGACTTTATTACAAGTAACTCACTTATTTATACAAAAGAATGAACATGCAAATAATAAAATAATTTATAACTTTAAAAAACACTTACAACTTAAAGTTATTTCATATACTAACAATATTTACTTAAACTTACAATAACTCTGAACTCCCAGTTTAAGTGTCCTACGGACAATAACTGTAATGCCATATGTAAAAGCAATGACAGTCATCGGCCGGAAAGATAAGTAAATAACCCACCGTACGTAAGACAGCCATTCAAAAAAGTTCATGTTTTCAAAACTCCTACTCGCTTCTTGAATGTACGTAAATACACATCTATCAACAAATATTTATTGTCTTTAACAATCCTCGAATATGTTTTCTTTCTTATGAATAGATGTGAAATTATCAAATCCAAATAAAATACCTCCGAATCAAACACATTTTCTTCTTTCCTCGCGTAAAATACACAACTTTAAAAATGGCGGTCGCTTTCATGGCTTAGGATAGCCTACATTGTACTTCCACTGTGACTTTGTCTTATCTTTGTGTTTTCACCAAGCGCCTCGCGTTTTGTCTTATCAAAGTGTTTTCGTCTTACACCCGTGGCGTTAGCTGAGGGTAACAGTAATTTTACGAGGGATGATATTTTAGCTGTTATTCACATACAAATGTGTTATTTAATTTATTACTTCGAATAAATACTTCATTTGGAATCTGTTTCTATACGTTTTTATTTTTTCAGATTTTTTCTGTGAAAAAGTACTGTTACCTTTGTTACAGTACATATTTTAGTCACATGAATTCCACTTGAATTAACAGATTGAATAACTCGCATAGGCCTATGGGAAATTAACATTACAAACATACTGAAGGGTTATAAAATCAGGTGTTGTCATGACGAGTAATTCCTGTTCCTTACAGTTGACCTCATAACATTGTACATTACATTTGACAAATAATAAGGACTACCAGAGAAAACTATTTTGTAAATGTATAAGGGGGACTTTTTTTATTTTAGGAAGCACAGTTTCATCCACCGATAAAACATTAAATCATTCAATGATATACAATATATTGTCATGAAAATACGCTCCATTTAACCACAAATCTATTTCAATATCAAAAGAAAGAACTTTATTCAATTAGTTCATCACAAATGTCGCACGAGCGATGTATCAATTCCTCATGGCACTCGGCGACCTGTAGATAGATACGTCAGCGTAATGAAAATCGGTAAATGTTTTCTAGGTTATTTATTACACATATATCACTTGTTCCTAGACAGTCCGGACTATTACAATGTTTCCCAACAGACATGTGAGGGCACGGTTTTAACATTGGTTTTATGGTCAGGTTAATGTAGTATGCCAAATGGAAATCAAGAGAGTTCAGTTAACGCACCATTTACTTGCAGGTTTTGAAAGTTACTGCTCCTTTTCTAATCTTATATGTGTTTTGTATAGATCACACTTTACTTCCCATATATATTTCATACATTCTTTAATTTAAATTAGACATATTAAGGAAGACTTTTATGTATTTCAATAAATGTCTGTGATTAAGTATTTAACTGAATGATAAAAGCAAGAAATAAATTGAAAGTCGTATTTGTGTGCTATCTTAAGCACGCTTTGAGTGAAAAGCGTTGCAACGCTTTTCAGATTTTGATCATTGTTCACTATTAGAATTTTCATTCCGGACATACGGAGTAAGGAGATGATCAAATGGAACATTTATACCGAAAAATTATTTCTAGTTCCGATATGTAAAAATATTTTAAAAGTTATGAAAGTTTATTGAATACATCACATATGTACTAAATATTTTGTTTACTTAGCATCTTTATGTTATAAGCAGTTTGATGAAAATGTAAACTTATTCATCCTCTTATTTTTCAAACTTTTACATTATTATTCAGCGATTTTTTTTATTACTGTACGTTTTATACTAAGGTCATGACCTTTTCTGAATAATTGTCAATTCTTTTGTATCGGATGCACATCCTTTCACATGATAATAGCCTCGGCACTAGTGTAATTTGCATTGAAAACAATTTTATGATCTGTTCTTGTTAAAACACCCAAAATGTGTAAGCAATATATATTCTTATGGCATTTAATCTTACGATAAATGCGACTGATTTATATGACTAATTTATTAATAGTGTGTGGTTCAACATTCAAATATGAGAAATGAAAAAAAAAATACAGACCAGAATGTACCGGCATTTCACCATTTTCGTGTTTGAAAATTGAATTCTGCTTAACACGGTGCTGGGGGTGGGGCGTAGACGGTAACTTGCACTTTTCATTTCCGTTCGTGAACAGGCTAAATCAAACCGAGCCTGCAACATTTTAAATTTTGCCGTGTTGGGCTTTCTTTCCTATATTATAATGCAATAAATTACCTTGCCGTTACAGTGTTAATGTATTTAATATTCTGACAATTGCATATTTTTATTTTTTTTAAAATTCGCGTGTTGTCTATTAATATTAATGGAAAAATAAGTCTCATGATCAACTTACATTAACTTTTCATTTGATAGAGCGCGTTTGTATTTCATATTCAAACGAACATGTTACTATTGAAAGGGTTACTAAGGTCGCTGAGGTTACAGAACAACTTAACTTTGTGCTTACACGGCAACGTGCTAATCACTTTAATAATAAATGTTATCGGTAATTAGTCTTTTAATCATATCTCTGAAACCATAGATTGTTTCTATAATGTCCTTTTAGATTGTAAGTAGCCTAGATACAGTCTAATTCATGTTTATCAATGCCGTTACCATAATATTGCGAGATTAGATACTATAAAACTAAAGCAATGATCGTGTCGTGTCTAAGTTCATATCAATATAAAGAGCTATCTGATTTAAATACCTTTGGCAAATAATTTGACATCAAAGCTTCAAAACATCTATAAAGTCAAGTTTCGATTTAAATGGCTGTTGTTATGAAAATCTCTGCCTTCGGTAAAGATTGTTTATTTTTCTACGACAACTACCTCTATGAACAATATTACTAACTTTTTCATCAGAAGTAAAGCGTCGAGTTATCTTTCTAAAGCCAGAGTGATACCCCTCGCCCTTCCTTTTTATCGTGTACGAATGTTTCTAGTATATATCTCATTAGATGACATGAAATGTAAGCAATAGATATATAAATAAATAAATAAAATATGCCCAACGGTGATTTTATTACTAAATGAAATCACTGTTTGGAGTTCGGATGCGAAGAATTATATCACGAGGGCGTAACTAATGGTGGGAGTTACATTTATGAAATAACTTGAACGTAAAAATTATTAAGATTTCAAAACGGCAGCTGTTTGCAAACCATATTTTCTTCTAAAATTATAAAGATTTGTGACATTGTTAACGATTTCATTATGCGGTGTCATGTGTCCCAAATATTAAGAAAAACCGAAAATTGTGAAATAGGTTTTAAATAAATTTACAGCAACTTTACTGTGATGAATGTTATTTCTAACGAACTTGTTACAAGTCATTTAACATTAAAATTAGATTGTTTGAAAATAGCATATAATAGGATGATACTTACTGCATTTTATTACATACCCATCGTATTTAATTTGAGGTCCAATATCGTACTAAAAGTTATCAAATAAATGGCTAAAAGAACAGAATGCTTTAAACGAAACATATGTTACATATAGCGCATTAACTCACTTTAGGGCACATTTCTCGCATATTTACTCTAAAGTGTGTTTGACCACAAAGTTCGTTGTGAAGTTTACTACACCTTTGCGTAGGACCCCGCTGTGTGTTGGGTTTTGGTGTTGTAACACTGCACAAAAATAGCATAAACCCTCCTACCGATAAATTCAAAATATTGAAGAAAAAAAACCAACAAACAAACATCAATTAACACTCAAAGTGTAAAAAATAACGTCCTGATAGTGACAATAGAACAACAATCTGTGTGCTATCGTGGCTGATTTGTGCCATGTCATATTTTCGCTATTTCCGCTGTACTCAGGCGCTCAAGCGCAAAATAATACGATCAAAACGTTGACAAAATTTAACCATGAACTTATTTGAATTTTTTCTTTCTGTGCAGAATTTCAATGCAATCATGCATCATTTGGTTAATCGACTAAATTTAGTATAGTTTAAAGTTTATTAGTACGTATTTACAAAATTAAATTGGTCAGCTCGGCTGCGGATCAATTTAATCTTGTAAATACGTTTAATTGAACTTTTAACAGCTTAGTGTTTTAAATTGTTTTTATAAACAGCCTATTTACTAGACTGAGTAACAATTGACGATTTGCAAAAGTAAATGTTTTACGATTCATTTGAAATACTGCAGTAATCCTAAAGGACAAAAAATAATTTCAAACACTCAATGAACTTTAATGTTTGAAATTATTTTTTGTCCAATAGAATTGCAGAATTTCAAATGAATCATAGAACATCTACTTTGGTAAATCATCTTAATTTAATCAGTCTAGTAACTCCACAGTTTTATATAAAAAAAAATTAAACACTAAATTAGTTTGTGTTTATTAGTAACCATTTACTACATTAAATTGTCTAAAAGGCTGCGCCGTTCTTGACCAAATTAATTTTGTAATGCTTAATTTACACTAACGTACACATATTTCAGTATTTGTGCATTTTGATACCTGTTTTGTAAATGTATTCTTTATAACTTTAGCAAAAGCGTGTATTACTACTGATAATATAATGAAACACTCGTTCGCGTTATTCGATCTAGAAATGAAACGTTCGCGAGTAACAGAGAGGGTGTAGTATTTAAATACAATAAGTTCCAATATAGCCAGGATTTCTTCTCAATTGTTAATGAATATTTCAAAATGAATAGAACGAGCATACTATCTCATTTGAGCTTTGAAGTTTAATGAACTGCATGTTTTCACGTACATTAAATATTTATCGAAAAGTATTATACTTTACATGACGGAGTTGGGTTTTGTTGTGTTTATTGTGGAATATATAATTTTCAGTTATTAAGTAGATCTTGATGTGTCTTGAATGTTCTTATACTGTCAGAAAATTATACTAAAGATAACTTATAAACGTTCAATTTATTGTGGAATAGTTACTGTTATTCTGGACATAGGAGTTTTAAAAAAACCGGAGAGAAATTTCAAATTGTAAGTATTTACAAAGTATTGTATTCATTCTTTTTCAACATAATATATACAAGAAACACAGTATTTCATTATAGTTATCTAAAAAGAAAACTGAACTGAATTAAGCATTTAATAAAAACGTGTCTTAAGTTGCAGTTTTTCCAACTTTGAAATAATTTATCTAGAGGAGTTTTACCAAATCAATAAAAATCAATCAAAAAATTAATCAATCAATTTATCAATCAATAAAATTGTGATTTTTTTAATCAAATTTTTCAAAAGAATAATTTTCTTTTGTGTGTGTTATTTTATTATTTAAAATAAATTACTTCAAGATTACTCTAACTTTTATTTCACTTTTATTATTAAGATGTCGTTAACACAGTTACTTAAAGAGATAACTATAGATGATAATTAACAGGAGATAGATAATTATAGATGATAATTTACAGGAGATAGATAATTATAGATGATAATTTACAGGAGATAGATAATTATAGATGATAATTAACAGGAGATAGATAATTATAGATGATAATTTACAGGAGATAGATAATTATAGATGATAATTTACAGGAGATAGATAATTATAGATGATAATTTACAGGAGATAGATAATTATAGATGATAATTTACAGGAGATATACTAGATTACAATTAAAATTCTTAAACAGTTCAAGTGAAGCACTTAAAAATGGAAAAATCTGCACAAGATTATGAAGAAATATGCTCAGATAATTTTAATCTTATATCGATTTTTTTTTGCGATTCTCAGCCCAATTGAGAGAAAAGCGTTGCAACGCTTTTCATTTTGGGTCATTTTGTATAATAAAAATGGTGATTCTGGAAGAAAAAGGATAAGGGAAGTATGTGCAATTTTGCAATTTAGCTCTTTATCAAATGGTACACAGATATTGGAAATAGGTTTACAGTCCCGTCATGTGAAAACACTCAGTGGAGTCCCTTTATGTCGTTTTTAAGTAATTTCTTATTACTTTTCTCTTTTCGTGTAAGAATTCAAACAAATAGATTTAATATATAAAGATTTTGAATGTAAACCATAATTTTTGAAAACAAATATTTGTCTTTTTAGTGCAAGCTCCGTAGTACAGCAATTTCCTCATTACAACATCTGTTGTTTTTTGTTTTTGTTTTTTTTTTGTTGTTTTTTTTCAAATTTTCCTAGAGTAAAACTTCAAAATATATTTTTTTTTCTCTAAAGCAACACCTGTCAACAACCTGTCAAAATATTGGTCTACAAATGATGTTGCTCTTCAGAGGATGAACTGTATTTAAAATGATGTAAATAAATCTCCTTCGATACATGAGAAAAGTCGAAATTTCAGAAAGTTCAGTGTAAATATCAGTATTGAAAATGTTGTAGCAAATGTTTACACTTTTCTTTCGATATCGTACCTCTGTAAAATTTCAGTCTCAAGTCTGTGATGTATCATGTAATTCTTTGTTCTGCATTTCTTATCTTCAGCAATATGAACAGAACAGAAAACATATTTTATTTTATTTGACTTAAGCTCATCGTAATTAAACAATGAAAGGAAAAACATATGTATACTTGATATGAACAAAAAACTCACGTACGAAATCAATTCCAAATCTATTTGATTAAAACCACTTGTTACGAAACGGGTAAAGCTAAAGTACTGGCAATTTCCTTAACGCTTCAAATGCAAAAGTCAATCACCCTTTAGGATATTAAGAAAGTACAATACAGGCAGCTGTAAAAATGAAAAAAATGACCTAATTTTCTAAACAATTTGTCTCGTCTCTCGTAAATTAATTGGAATTTGTTTATGGAAGGGAGACGAAAATTCGATTTCGTAATTGTTCCTATTAAAACGTCTCAATAGACCATTAATTGATTGTAACTTTAAATGAATAGTCTCAGTTTTCGTTTTGCCTGCAAACCATGTAACGTATTAAATTATCGGACTGGTTTTGCTAATAAAGCCGAAAATGATGAAATGGTAATGTTTAATTTTTACCAAGTAAGAACGTATAAAAAGGAAAAATTGAAACTTACACATTTAATAAGTGAATTATTTTCAATCTAAACGCAATGAAGAAAAAATGAAGTGATAATAATAAAAAGAAAGCAACATAAAAACCATTTTCATGTTGCGCTCCAACCGGTGTTGAGGTGTGGGGTGCTTAAAGCTTGCAATTGCCACTGTGGTCCATAAAAAAGGGGCTAAACCAAACAGGGCCTGTACAATTTTTTCAGGTATATGTTTAAACAAACACCTTGTATCAGTTGTAATGAAATAGATATATGCGACAAGTGGTATACATTTCTGTGAGACAAAAATAGCTCATAAATTTTAAACAGGATTTCTTATGCATTATCCGGGTGTTACTTTGACATTTCCAGCATAGAAATTTTCTTTTAAATATTTCTATTATCTTTTTTCATTGAAATTACTTTTTGTGTGAAGGGTATTATACACCAAATTAGAAAGAAGAAGTTAAGATGGTAAAATAGAATTATTGTACATTTCTGTAACTTCACAATAAGCTACATAAATCGATATGTCTTGCCTCGCCCGGCGCCTCGACAAATAGGTAACCCGTGCCGCTGTAAAAACGAAAGTAGGGTGTTCTTTATCAATTTTACATTTATTTTCAATCAATTACAGCATTTAGTCTAAAGATGATATTATAATGAACATATGTCATATGTATGATGCATATATAATCAAGCCACTGGTTCATTGAAACCCGAAAAATGTCTTGGCGGCGAGCGGGCGAGGCAAGACATGTCGATTTTATGAAGCTTATTGTGAAGTAACAGTAATTGAAAATGGACCTATGACAAAACAACACATAAATTAAACATTCTAGTGTTCCGTGGTATACTACTTCACAACATGACATACGTCCTTTCCTCGTTACTATGACATTTCTTTGGATTGTTATCTATCGCTGGTTTGTTTTGAGCAGAGAATGCCCTGTTCATGTGCAAAGAGGGTACTAATTGGGTAGATTTCGCAAAGAAGGTACCGATTTGGTAGATTTCGCAAAGAGGGTACTGATTGGGTAGATTTCGCAAAGAGGGTACTGATTGGGTAGATTTCGCAAAGAGGGTACCGATTTGGTAAATTTCGCAAAGAGGGTACTGATTGGGTAGATTTCGCAAAGAGGGTATCGGTTGGGTAGATTTAGCAAAGAGGGTATCGGTTGGGTAGATTTCGCAAAAAGGGTAACCGATTTGGATATGCACCGTGGACGAGAACGTCTGTACTAATTATTCGTTCATTCGAAATGAAATTAGCACTTTTCTGTCTAAACGCAACACAAACAGAATTAAAAATAATTTAAGCGAGTGTCATCAATTTATTTTGCTTTTGTGTGAAAGAAAAAACATCGGCACAACAAAAGAACGCTTGTGCGAGATATTGTCAATAATTTATAACGGACGAGTTTGATTGTAATTTATTGGCGAAAAAAACACGAAGCACAGCAATGCAAAGTGGAAAGCATTAAGCAAATGGCATGCCAATGTAAAGTGGGACAATATGATGCAAATGGTATACCGGGTTATAGTGGAAAACATGAAACCTTTTGCATTCAAATGTATAGTGGAACATAAGAAGCAAATGGTATAATGGAAGTAATGAAGCCTTTTGAATACCATGTATAGTGGAAATATGAAGCAAATGGTATACCGAGATATAATGGGTAACATAAAGCATTTAGCATACAAGTGTACAGTGTAAAGTGGGAAATATGAAGCAAATGTACCGAGGTATAAAGGGAAATATGAAGCCTTTTGCATACCAATGTATAGTGGGAAATATGAAGCAAATAGTATACCGGGGAGTAGTGTTAAAACATAAAGCAAATGACATATCAAAGCATAGATCAATGACAGAACACAGTTCACGAAATATTAAGAAATAAATATTAAATCAATTATACATAATGTACTACTTAAATCAGAAATTATTGTTTGTATCATTATCTTTATACCTCAGGTTGTTTTGTTGTTGTTCTGTTTTTTTTATATAAAAATACCCTTCAATTATTTTTTTGTAAATGTTAAGATTAAATGTTTTATTTATTTATCTAATCCAGTTGGTAAAAGCAATATCGGGGGAATCAAAGTAATTCGAATCATCATGAGCATAATTATATCACTAATTATAATGGGGAACTTCAGCGTTTTAAAATACTGCTGACGTAGGAAAAATTGAATGAAACATATTCTAGTGGCACAAGAGTTTCTCTTAAATTGTTAATGAATATTCTATAATGTAAAACGTAGCCAAGTCTCTCTGGTGTGCTTTTGAAGTTTAATGAAGTGCAAAATTTCCCTCGCTGCATTAAATATTTATCAAAATTTGTCATTTTTTACTTGACGAGATTTGTTTATTTTCTCAGAACCGTTCACAAATTACTTTCAGAATAATAGGAAAGGTTTATATATAAATTTGTGACCAGATTGATTTCATACTTAAAAATCTTGTTGAAATTTCATCGATTACAATAACACTAATAAGACAATACATTTTAATAATAAGAAGCATAACGGTCATAATTTAGGACATTGGGAATTTAATGCTTGCTACAATTTAAATGTAAGTTTTAACTTTCTATATTTCATTTTCAATTTTAAAAACTCTTTTTTCGATAAACTCATAAACTTTTCAAATATAAGAAATAACTTGCCATAGTTAATACCAGTTAACGTAGTTTAATATATTACAATTAAAAAATAGTTTTCGTTACTTAAAAGGAATTAAGCTTCATTGAATGCATAATTGTTTTTATAAAATTTTAGAAACAGTAAAAATGAGTTGAATCAATGTTTTCAATTCATTTACAACAACACTCAGTTTGTATAATTTACCAAAACATGAGCAAATCCAATATGCAAGCATACAAAAGAAATAGGCCATTGTGATGCTTATATTGATGCTTATCGACATAAACACAATGATAATAATAATGATAATAATAATAACTAAACATAGAGGACAACAATATAGATGTTTGTAAGCTGA